TTTTATGTTTTGCCAGTTTAGTGGCTAATTCGTACGAGTTCAGTCATACGAAATGGTATGATTTTAAAAAGGAGGCGTAGCACCTAACCCCCCCCTAACCCCAACCGTCATTGGGGAATAAGCAAATCGTGCTAAATTGTACGAATTAGATCGTACGAATTCATACGAATTAGCCACTAAATGAAGAAGTTACGAATTGCCGTGAGATTGTGTTGGTTTGTTTCCATGATCCTTGATCTTGTCAGGGCCGATCATACAGCAAAGCTGTGTGTGTGCTGCAGGCATTTTTGTCGGGAGAGCAGTGCGAGAATTGAAGAATGGTAATTATAATAATGATAATTATCGATATCGAATTATCGCCCAGCCCTACAGCAGATGTTCCAAAAGTTGCATGTAAGAGAGAAACACGTCAAACTTATAAAATGTGAGGAGCGCGCGCTCATGTGAGGGCTCATGGAATCAACTTAAAGGTGAGGAATGGACTGTCTTTGACAACTTGTATCATCATCCAACATATTATCTGAGTAGCCTACGTTTACATGGACACCAATTCTCTGATTTTAATATGATTAAGACACTACTCTATCAAGAGTCTACCACGTAAACATTTATTTTTTAATATCTTAAACGACCACAGACACAAACTGCGGAGGAAACATTTAAAGGCTGGTGACGCAATGACGTTGACGGATCTATGTGCTGTAACATGTAACTGGGAATCATGAATGTAACATTGATAAAGCAGATCATGTAAACACCTGAATCACATTACTGTCTTATTCAGAGTAAGGCAAATCACTAGATCCCTGATGTCCATGTCAAAGTAGTAAACCTCAAACCCAGAAAAAAGGTGCTCCTGATTTTGATGACAGCCTTTCCACAGGTTGGTAAGCTAATGTAATGTTTAATGCAAATCTTGCATTTATGCTAATAAACAAATGATCAAAAGAAATATATTAATGCAATTCAAATATATAAAATATGAATTGATGTTTACTTTAAACTTATTATAAGTATTTATATGGTTCAATTATAATGATAGTGATATATATATATAATTTTTATTTTTTATTTATTTATTTTTTTTGTCGATTAATTTTCTGTCTAAAAGGTATCGGTTCAGGCACCGTTTTGGCACCGGTACCGTTTTAAAAGTATCGATTTAGCACCGGTATCGAAAAAACCCCAACAATACCTGTTCCTAGACACAAGGCGCATAAGCAGCGCGCAAAATGCTCACGGCCGTTAGCAAACAATTCAAAAAAGGTGCCCCTCAACATATAAACCGTGTTCGCTGTGATCGCCCCTGACTGTATTTGCACGCAATTGACAAACAGTCACAGTCAAATTAAACTTTAGTGACAAAACCATCCGGTGTACTGTCCTGCGTGTCTTGCACGGTTGTTGCTAGAGCAGATACGTTTGCGGCCGGAAGTTAACGAAAAATATATTTCTATTATTTATTAAATTTCTCATTTGTTGTATTTCATTAACGTCTACCCTCACCCCAACCCTAAACCCAACCATCACACTAATGTAAAAACAGTTGTTGTACCAAGTATTAGTTATGTTATCTATTAAATTACCCAATAAAATGTATTTTTTAACGCCTACCCCCAACCCAACCCTAAACCCAACCATCACAGTACTGTAAAAATATTAATTATTGTTATACAGTGTCATTTAAAAATGCTGCTTTATAAATGTGCATATCGCACTTCCGGCCGGCCGCATATCCGATCTAGACTTTACTGTCTTGCACGCTGGTGACGCACAAAAGTCTGTAGCTCCGCCCTCTTCCGAAAAAGAGCACAATCTCATTTGCATTTAAAGCGACAGTCAAACACCAAAATTAGGATCAAAGCCTGAAAGTGTCAGTTTCAGAGAGCTGGAGAACATTATCTGTGTGCTAATCCCAGCTCAAACTCACTCACACACACACACACACACACACACACACACACACACACACGCACACGCACACACACACTCACACACACACACACACACTCTCTCACACACACACACTCACACGCACGCACACGCACACTCACACACACTCACACACACACACACACTCACACACACTCACACACACACACACTCACACACACTCACACGCACTCACACACACTCACACACACTCACACACACACACACACACACACACACACACACACACACACACACACACACACACACACA